CGCCGCTACCCTGAAGAAGCCGTCCTGAAAAGGACTGCCCAGGGGCACAGAGTGAGCTCAGCTCAGCGGCAGCGTGCAGGTGACACGGAGAGAGAGACCAGAGAGCTGGATTGCATTCCACTGAGAAATAGCCTTTATTATAGCCTTTATTATAGCCTTTATTATAGCAGGGCCCTCAGTGAAGGGAGCCAGGGACAGCAGCTCCTTGAACTGGGGAAAAACCCGGGTATTTATAGGGAAGGAGAGGGGAGGGGGAAACTGGGATACAGGTATCGGGGTGGATTGATAGGGAGGATAGAGGAATGGGGTGTAACAAATTAACATGTTCAACTCTAGGGCCGCTGGGAGTGACACTTTCTCTCTGCATGACATAAAAGTTTCTCGCCTAGGGAGAAGCTCTCCAGGGGAGAGTCAAGCTCTCTGAGTTGGCCGGTTCCTCAGCCCCCACAGTGCTGACAACAAAGCGTATGTTAGGCTGTCCCAGTGATCCTGAGAGATCTGGGCCAACCCTGGCCAGAACGCAGATTTCTGGAACCAAACTACCCTCAGTAAATAATTAACGCACTCCTCCTTACAGGAGAGCCTAACTCAGTAAGAGCCAATTCTTTTTAAAGTCTGTTCAAAAAAAAAAACTGGAACAAAACCAAACAAAGAACACTTCCAAGCAAAGGTTGTGTTTCTTCTTCTGCACTGGCAGCTGCAGAGCAGGGTGGAACACCCACAGCTGGATTTCCAGCTGGATTCCCCTTCCCAGATGGATTTCCAGCTGGATTTCCCTTCCCAGATGGATTTCCAGCTGGATTCCCCTTCCCAGATGGATTTCCAGCTGGATTTCCCTTCCCAGATGGATTTCCCAGGTGGATTTCCCTTCCCAGATGGATTTTCCAGCTGGATTTCCCTTCCCAGATGGATTTCCAGCTGGATTTGCCTTTCCAGCTGGATTTCCATTCCCAGCTGGATTTAGAGCCCAGATCCAGGCTGGGGCTCTCGGCACAGACCACACCACACAGCCAGTATTTCTGTGCTGTGAGGAGCTCCCTTGCCAGCCCTTCCCCAGGCTCCCCGTGTCCACCCTCCCTCCCCTGCCAGCCTTACAAAAAACAAAAACAAAAACAAAACCCCAAAAAAAAGGGTTACAAAACCCTTCACATCCCATTTCCCACCCCTTCCTCTTTCCCACAGCGTAAAAAGCTGCCTCTGCAGTTTTAGCAAGCCCTTCCACTGGTAACAGTTAAAAAAAAAGGGACTGAACTTAAAGGAACTTTTCCAGAAAGGCAGAAGGGTGTTTAAAATGAGCTATTTGAAGCTTAAAAACAACTTTTAAAACAATCTTCCTTTACACACCAGAAGTTGTTAAAACTCCCTCGTGGAGAGCAGAGTCCTCGTCTGCTGTCTCCGGCAGATCTGCTTGAATGCAGAGGAATTCTGCTCTCTGGTGATCAACAGATGATTAATGGAAAGATAAACTCATTGAGAAAATAGGCGCTTTATGGTCCAGCCCTCTCCTGACCGGCACACATGTTCCCATTAATTTAATTCCGGTTTCATTAGCAGCCGGAATGATGAAGCCATTTGGTATCCAGGAGAGCGGAGCGTGGTAGGCAAGGACACACGGGTCTGCTAAGAGAAGAGGCGACCGCAGCTCATTTTCCAAGGCCGAAATGCATTAAATTGCAACTATAGAAATTTTACATCGCCCCGGCGCTGATCGTACTGTGATTCACTGACGCGCCCGAAAGCAATCATCCTCCACATGGAGAGCGAATGACCTGGCCTTGAGCACAGAGCAAGCAGCCTCCAGCTTCTCCTCTCAGCCCAGGGGAAAAGAACATTTCCTCCCTGGACTTTCCATACAGAACAAATTGCATTAAAATTGCACTGATACTTCAATTGTGCAGCAAAGCCCCCGGGCCTATTACCTGGAGAGGCTCTGACCTCTTGTTTCAGTTTGATACTCTCCTCCCTGCTGCTCTTTACTCAAAATGACCGGTTCTTACCCAGGCCTTGGGGCCTGAAGCTTGCTGCCACAGCTGTGTAAGAATCAGGAGTTTTGGGGTGCTCCAGGGAGAAGCAGAGGTAGCAGAGCGGGTCTGGACAACAAAGTTGTTCTTCCCCTGTAAGAAACCCCAAACAGCTGGAGCCTGCTCAGCTCCTGACCCTACCACAAACAGATAAATAGATAAAACCCAAATAAATAGAATACAGATAGATAAATCCTGACTCCCAGTACAAACAGGGTGTGGTACCGAGGGTCTCTGCACATGCCATCGAGTTTTTCAAAGAAAAGAGAGGCAATTTGTGGGGAGAGAGAGGGTGATCCACAGACTCTGCCTGTTTTACATGGTATTTCTGGGAGAAAAACAGAGATCCGTGCGTTTCTGCTTCAGGTCTCGTGTTCTTCAAGCCTGCAACTCTCCCCAGTATTACTGTTCCAAGGAATCAAAGCATCCCTCCACATCTGGAGAACACCTGAGGTGAAAATGAGCACATTGCTGTGGTTCAGTTCTGATTTACGGTAAGCACAGGCAAGGCAGGCTCTGACTGAAGGGCAGGGACACACCGTGGCACTCATCCTCATCCTCATCCTCATCCTCACCCTCACCCTCA